CACGATGTACATAAGCTATTTGACAATAGAAGAAGCAATGAGTATGAGCAATTTGCTTATGATATTCAACAAAAAATAATCCTAAAGAATATTGGAACTAATATCTATGACATCATGTAAAAACTAAGCACCATTAGCACTCAAATAAAACGAGAAATATATCGTTTCACTCGCGACTCGATAAAAATTTAAAATCGATTTAAGATTGTAAGTCTTTACTAATATTTATTTTTGAAACGGGAGGCACTTATTTTTGAAAAACTATTGGATGCTAAGAATTTTTTTAATTGAGAGATTACTAATTCTTTTCAGGATAAAGATATCAAAAAAAAATAATTCGCGAAAGCCTTATTTTGAATAATTATAAATAGAACATTTTTTTCTATTTTTTTTTTTTTTTTTTTTAAAAAAAAAAAATATTTTATAATTTAAAAAAAAAAATTATGCGTAAAAGGGCAAAGTTGAATAGAGAGACAAGAATCAATAAAAAGAATAATAGACTCCCCACAGATATAAAACCAACTTTCCCTCCCACTTTAACAGCAAATGATCTCATCAAAAATGCCATTAAATCCAACAAACCTAACAAAAGTAGAGCAATAACATTTCCAAACGCTTTTATCGCGTATAGGATGGCATTAACCAATGAATATCATAATAAGAACATTACCTTACCCTCGGTGGTTGATCTTTCTAAAATTGCAAAAAATTATTGGGAGAAAGAATCAAAAGATGTCAAAGAATTTTACAATAAGCTAGCTGAAGATGCCAAATCTTTATATAATCAAAACAACGTTCAAATTATATGACAGGCATATGATTGATCAAAACGACCAACTTGCGAGGGGTGGCGCGGAATCGGCTTACATCGATCAAGATGCTGAAGTAAGTACCTTTACACAAAATTCATCTCGTCTTAATGATTCTTCTCCCAATTATAGATTTTACGAAGATCCTGGACAGAATTCAGCTGATCGAGAATTATTTTATATACTTGATTTTCATTACAAAATGGATATATTTAGAAACGAAGCGGTTGATAATAAGTATAATCCTCATTCCTAAGGATAAGAAATTATAAAAATCTGCTGTTAAGTAAAATACGATATAAAATTACTGGGTGCACTAAATAAAAGAACCTTGTCTGTTTAATTTTGTAACTTTTGTAAATGTATAACGATAAATAGCAAAAGTATTAGAATATTAAATCCTAAAACGTCTTAAACAAATAATTTGATAATAAATTAAAAGGTTTTGTTGTCAAAAGAATAATGAGCGCTAACAACTGACTCCTGAATCGGAAGAAACACAGAACTTTATAAGGATATTATACCTTTCATACTATAGGAGAGTTTTTACGATTTTAGAAAGTTTGTCTAATAGTTAATTATCTTGGTATTTTTTTAATTAATTAAATTTATCTTATATGCGATAAATGATCAGAAGGATGTCCTAAATCTTTTTATATTATTATGTCGATGAAAAAATGAGAAAATTAAATGTTTTTTTTTTTTCCTGCTAAGATATTAAATATGAATGTTTAAAATTTATTTAAAAGAAAAATACATTGCAAGGAATTTGAATGTAATTTAATTTGTTAAACATGCCTTGCTCACGATGTGGTGCAAGATTATATTATCCATGTATGAAATTCATCCGTTCTCACAACAGGTTAATTTTGCACTAACAACTAATATGTATATTCTATTAATTACATCTTTTTATGATGTAATCAAAGTTTAAAGACCTTGCAATAATATTGTTTGACTCAATTTGTGATTGTTTTTATATGTGTGTATCAATTGCGTTTCTACCTGTTTATGATAGTTAGAATAAAGACAAAATAATAGAAAAGACCAAATATGTTTTCATATGGACCTTGCTAATTGTGTTACAGATACACAGTTACCAAAATTCTATGTAGATTGGTCCTTTCAAATCAACATTTTCTTTTTCTGAATCTATTAATATGATTCATTTTGTAATTGTTTGTGCAATTTTAAATTCATTGGAGTTTTATACAATAATCAATTACTGAGTAATAATCACTGAAATATTTTATTATTGTACGTTGCGACTTACATAGCGTTGCCACCAAAAAAATGGTAGCCGGATTTTATTTGTCGGGTATTTGTTATTAGGGTTAGGGTTCGGATTAGGATTAGGATTAGGATTAGGGTAGAATTAGGATTTGTTTAAGGGGGTTAGCAAATTTGTCACATCGCGTCATATCCCAGCCGTTCCTCAATTTACTAAGTATTCTGGGGAACAGAAATTATTTTGAGAGAAAAATGCTAATTGTCACAATTATATGTCACCCCTGATAAGTATATGTGACCCGGCAAATAAAATCCGGCTACCATTTTTTGGAGGCTGTTGAGATTTGCTATTAAATCACGTTACGGATCATATGATTTACTATCGATTTTAATAGCAAACCTCCCACAAAATCTCTAGTATTTATCCATCTACTGGACCCTATCTAATTTTTGGAATAATTTTATAAAATACTAGCTG